ATCTATCTATCTATCTATCTATCTATCATCTATCTATCTATCTATCTATCATCTATCATCTATCTAATCTATCATCTATCATCTAGCAGGCTATCATCTATCTACCTCTCTATCACCTATCATCTATCTATCTAATCTGTCTATCCTCTATCATCTATCTCTCTATCTCTATCATCCATCTATCTATCATCTATCTATATCTGTCTACCTACCTATCATTTTTTCTATTTATTGTGGTGCTGAAGATCAAACCCAGAGCCTTATGCATAATGTGTGTACACTCTACCACTAAGTTAAATCCTCAGCCCCCTTTTTGGTGATACAGTCTTACTGTAGAGCTCAAGGTAGCCTTGAACTCCTGCCTCACTGCTGTAATTACAGGATGCATCACCATGTTCAGCTTTAACTAGCTTTCAAGACTTCCTGAATACAGCCTCCCTGTAACCTCAGCTTCTAAGGTACCCTGACTCCTTCTGCTCTAGCCACACTGTCACCCTGCTGCCCCTGGAACTCTTCAGGCATGCCTGAGCTGTGGCCTTCACACTGCCTATTCTATTCCCTTCATGAAGGTTCTTTCCCAGGCATCTCGCCCTTGCCTTTTTCTAGCATTGCCTGCAACGTTTTCTTCATGGGAAGATGTACTCTTGCTAGCATTTTATTTTATCTTATTTGCAGGTGTTAGAGATTGAACCTAGAGTCTACTTGTGCGCTAGGCAAGACCTGTACCACTGAGCCACATTGTCAGTCCTCTCCCTACTCCTTTACTGTGACTTGCCAATTCCATGACACGCTTGAATGACCTTCTACCTCAATCCACCATACTACGTAATTTGCTTACTGTGTTCAGTCTCTGTCTCCCCCAACTAGAATGGAAGCTCTGTGAAGGCATGGATTTTTGTCTTTGCATACTGGTGGTGTGGCACTCGAGCCAGGCTTGCTACATAGTGGGGTTCATTAAATATTTTTGGAATAGTGTTGGGTGTGGTCACATGCAGTTGTACTCCCATCTACTTGGGAGGCTGATAGCAAAAAGATCACTTGATTTCAGCAGTTCAGGGCCAGTCTGCGAACCAGAGACCCATCTTAAAAATTTAATTGTGTGTGTGTGTGTGTGTGTGTGTGTGTGTGTGTGTGTGTAGGTTAGAGGTTGGCACAGGGTGTCTTCCTAATTTCTCTTCACTTTATTTATGGAGGCGGGGTCTTTCACTGAACCTAGAGTTTGATGATTTAGCTATTCTAGCTAGCCAGTTTGCCCCAGGGATCTCTTCTGTCTCCTGAGCACCTGGATTATAGGGAAAACACACCTTGTCTGCCTAGCTTTTATGTGGGTGCTGGGGATTCAAACTCCAATCATGCTTGCACAGTCATTTCCCCAGACCCAAGACCCATCTTTATTTTTTTTTAAAAATATGATGAATATGAATAGGAATAGAGGGATGACTTAATTGGTAAAGTGCTTGCTGTGCAAGCATGAGGTCTTGAATTCAGGTCCCCAACATCGTGTATATACCTGGGCCTATAATCCCAGTGCTAGGAGACAGAGACAGGGAGGATTCCTAGGTGCTTGCTGGTCAGAAAGTCTAGCCAATCAGTGAGCTCCTGGTCAACCAATGAGTGGCCATGTCTCAAAAAATGTAGAAGGCTAGGCATGGTGGCATATGCCTTTAGTCCCAGCACCCAGGAGGCAGAGGCAGGTGAATCTCTGTGAGATAGAGGCCAACGTGGCCTATATAGTGAGTTCTGGGCCACCTAGGGCTACAGGGAGATTCTATCTCAAAAAACAAAAATAAGCAAAGAGAAAAAGGTAGAGAGTAATCAAGAAAGACACCAGACATCTACCTCTGGCCTCCACAGGCACAGCCACAGGCATGAGCATACACAGACACAGACACACAGAGACACAGACACACAGAGACACACACACACACACCACACCACACAGATGGAATGAATGGACAATACATATCACGTGGTGTTCCATAAATGCTCACGACTATGACAAGGCACACAACCCCCTGGTTCCTGCTTCCCTTCTAGCCTCTCTGCACTCTCTTATGTCTAGGGCTTTCCAGGTGTGTTCTTTTGTGTCCTGCCATGACATCCTTTAAAGAATATATACCATTTGCAGGTCAGTGTCTTCCCCAGCACCACCTCTACCCCATGTCCTTGTTTTCTCACTGGGTTGTAATCACTGGCTTCTTATTTGCCTTCCTAGCTGGACTCTGTGTGTGAAAATGGCTGTGATAGTAAATGCTAATTCGGGGAATGAGTGGGCACACAGTAGTGATTGTGACACACATTAATTTAATTATCAAATGTTACTGTATCTTGTGCTGTTTCTTAGGCAATCTCAATCCATAACATTTTTTTCAACTTAATCTTCACAGAGTCTAGGAAGTAAGTATTCTTAATGTCTTCATTTGAGAGGTGAGGAATTTAACTGTAAAGGATGGTACCTTCTCAAGGTCATATGAATGGAAAATGTTGGGGTACAAATCCAGGTGCTCTGGCAGCAGAGCCCCTAAACTCACACAATACGGCACCTTGGTCACGCTTTTTTGCTTTTCTCTTTTCCTTAGATCAGAGTAGTCAAGTATCTGTTCCTCACACGTATGGCAAAGTACATGCACCACCTCAACAAAGATCTGTGTGGAGGGTCTGCTCTTCTTGCTTCATTTTACCAAAGGGAAAACTCAAGGCCAGGGAGGATGAATCCATCATCCATGTCAGTACTACCATCATCACCACAGCTTTATCTGCCCTACAATTGTGTGCCAAGCATCGCGTCAAACCCCGTCCACACCTCATCTTATTGAATGTCTTATTTTAGACTAAATGCAGTTAAAGCTTTAAAAAATATTTTATTATTTTTATTTTGCCTGCATGTAAGTAAATGCAACCCTGTCGTGCAATGCACGCAGAGGACAGAAGAGGCTATCGGATCCTCTGGAGTTATGGACAGTTGTTAACTGCCATGTGGGTGCTTGGGATTCGAACATGCATGTTCTGCAAGAACAGTCAGTGTTCTTAACTGCTGAGCCATCTCTCCAGCCCTAAATGCAGTTAAATTTTAATTCTGGTTTCTCCACACTTTTCTAGGCACAAATGACCCGAATCACTTGAAATTTATAATATCAAAGACCTGTCCCACACCTGCGCTTTCGGATCTGGGAAATTAAATTCTGAAAGTTCTTGTCCGAGGTCAAGCAGGTGGTGGCCTAGCTAGAGCAGAGATTTGGAGAAACGTGGCCTATCAACACGTGTACTTTATCAGCGCACAGCATATAAATGAAAAGGGGTCTTTTTAAATGCACCTGTGTAAGGAGGGTAGTTGTTATTGCTCATGATTATCTGTGATGCACGATCAGAAAAATAGCATACCAGGAGTCACTTTCTAGCACTCTGCTGGAGTTAACCTTCAGTTTCCCAGGTGTAGGTAGAGGCAGCCTGGGCCGGTTGTGACTGGAAGGCTGCTTGTTTTCGCCCTCCAATCATGGCTTGGAGTCAAGGGGCTACACCAATTGGAGGCTACTGAAGTCTCAACAAAACCCAATTGAAGCGCGAGCCTAGCGGAGAAGAGCGATCCATCAGAGACGAAGAGCGGCGGGCTTGGCGTCACTGGCCAATCAGTGGGCGAGCGGCGGGCGGGGCGGGGCCGGTGCTCGGCCGGCCGGGAGTCGGGGCCGGCGGGAGCCGAGCGGAGGAAGGCCGGTCGAGGCGGGTAGGGCTGGGTGCGCGGGGCGCTCGGGGCGGGCTGGGGCAGCCCGAGAGAGGTGCGGGTGGAGTTCCGGGGTGGGAGGCTGTTGCTATGGCAACACAGATGCTCAGACCGGCAAGGCCCAGGCTCCTGGACCAGTGTCAGGTTGGAACCCACTGGTGCGGAGGGCCTCGGTCACCCAGGGCTTGGCGGCTTGCCGGGCCGTCGCCCTCCTCTGCAGCCTGCCGCGGCCCAGGACTCCCGCCGTCCCGGCTTGCCCTGGGCATTGAGGAAACAGGCCTCTGCCCTGTGACCACCTGGGCTCGCTCTCTGTCGGTTTGCCTGGAGGCCACCGAGGCAAGATGAGCAGTTGCTGCATCTTGGGAACTGGCCTTGGTCCCTAGGGTCTCCACAGCTGTTTGTTAAAGCACCCAGCGACGTGCTTTGTGCACAAGTAATTCGAAGAATGGAGTCTGAATGAGTTTCGATCAGAATGATAAGAATCTGGAGGGACAACTCAGTAGAACTAGAAAGGATCATGTGTGTCATTTTTGCATAGGAGCCACGTTAAAGTAACAGTAAACTTTAATATGTTTTGTTTAGACCGAATATATTACGTGTTAGATTACTAGTAAGATGTTTGAAATTGTATCTCTTTTCCACCCAGAGCCTTCCAGTCCATTGTGTATCTTACAGTGCCTCAGCTTCAGGAGCCCTGTTTCAAGTGTCACAGCCTAGTCAGATAGTGGTGGCCTTATTTCTTTTCTTTTCCCAAATTTCCTTTTGGCTTTTCAAGGCAGCATCTTGCTATGTGACCCAGGCTGTGATCTTTCTGCCTGAAGCTTGCTGAGTGCTGGGGTTACAGGCATGTACCATTATGCCTGGTAAAGTAGTATTTAAAATTTTTTATTACATTTATTTATTTTTGTGTGGGGGTGCATGCCACCATGTACATATGGAGGTCAGAGGACAAATTGCAAGAATCATTTCTCTCCTTCCACCTCATGGACCCTGGGGATCAAACTCAGGTTGCTGGGCTTTGCACCACGTACTCTAACCTGCCCGACCATCTCACAAGCCTGAAGAGCGTATTTTAAATGGATGTAATTCAGGCAACAGTAAAGATAACTGAGAATGCACAACAGACAAATGTGAGGATGGCTGAATTCTTAGGAATTCAAGGGAGGGATCCTCCAGGTTCAGGGTGGACATGCCTGTAGGAGTCACCTTGTCTGGTCTTGAAAAATAGGTGCATGTTTGATTCAGTGAGCCTGAATCTAGCTTCTTCTTTTTTTTTTTTAAGGTTGAAAACTAGCAGGATCCGGACACCTGCAGACTGAAAAGGTGCTCCTCACCCACTGGCAGCTTTCACCATGATTCACAGTCTTTTCTTGATCAACTCCTCTGGAGATATTTTCTTGGAGAAGCACTGGAAGAGCGTGGTCAGCCGTTCCGTCTGTGATTACTTTTTTGAGGCACAGGAGAGAGCTACTGAGGCAGAAAACGTGCCTCCGGTTATCCCTACCCCTCACCACTATCTTTTAAGTGTTTACCGCCACAAGATCTTTTTTGTGGCTGTGATCCAGACAGAGGTCCCGCCTCTGTTTGTCATTGAATTCCTTCACCGCGTAGTGGACACATTTCAGGTTTGTGAATGTGGGAAGCTTTATATATGTAAACAGCAAAGGGTCCTTTTTTAAAACAATGGTTTTTGACAGGCTGTCATTCTAGGTCTGTGTTGTGCAGGATCAGACAAGCAGCACTTCCTGTGTAGCCTCCTGAGTGCTGGCGTTACAGGTCTGAGCTGCCCGGCCAGAATACAAAATATTTTTATTGTCCTGTTGCCATTGTATTTAGCTTGGGTTAGAAGCATTTTTTTAAAAAAATAAAAAAATGAACTTTGCTTGTTTCTATCCCACCCGATAAGATTCTTGTTTCTATTTTTTAATTGGTTGTGTCCAGAAGGACAATTGGAATGCTTTTAAGCCTCTCACATGAGAAGGCCACCCCACTTCTTAGTTTTGGTCCTACATTTTGCTCACAAGTTAGAGTTCAGTTTTTTTCTAAATAGCTTTGAAATATGCCCAAATGTGATGTGTAAAGTTCTCTCAGAGAACTGGCGTGGTAAGTCGTACTTATTTTAACTGTTCCCAGCCGGGATCATTCATGAGCTCAGCCTTCATCTTGGGGGGAGTGGGCACCTACAGCATGTGTGTGCGAATGATGAGTTATTGTCAAAGTTTCTGTTCTGTGAGAATTTGTAATACATTGTAGTCTTCATTTTGATTTACAGATCTGGGGGCAGGGTATTGGGCGGGGACTTATACTAGGGTGTAAGTACCATTTAAGCACAGGAGTTTAGGCTGCCCAGATTCGGAATCCAGACAGTGGAATGCTCTCCCTGATAGTCACTCAGCTTTAACTGTTGTGACTATTTGCATTACTTGAATGATGTATTAGAAGCAGGGCCCTTTTAGCTTCTCTATCATGTGAGGTCTGGAGTTAGTCACATGTCTACAAGAATTGTGGAATTAGAAGGAGACAGATATGATTCTGGTAAAAAGTCAGTTCATTCAGCTGTGTTCACTCACATTACACGACTAGAGCTGTTTTCAGTAAATTTTACCTCCAAATGTTGTTCTGGAATTCCACTTCTTATGTCATATGCTAGTTCCTTTGCATAATGAAAACTCAAGAATTACATGCCCCAGGATATGGAGAAACTAGAAGAGTCCAGTAGTTAAGTTCTTAAGCTACTCTGACTGGGCCTGGCTATGATTTCTGTACAATGTACCCATGCTTAAATTAATGGTCCCATCACCATACCAATATTATATAACTTGCTACAAGCCACAAAGCAAGAAAAGTTGTGTATTTAAAACCACAGAGGAATTTAGGAAAGCAAAATCAAGTTGCTAATGAAGTCTAGGGCTTCAGTGCTTGTCAGTTTTGAAGCCATTGGTAAAAGTGAACCCGCCCGGAGCCTAGCATCTGGTGTGCTTTATCTCCTGTCCCAGTGGCAGACTCACAGGTGCTCTTGCTGTGGTACCTTGCATTGCAGGTCTCCTTTCCAATTGCTCTTCTCGCCTTATACCTGCCTGGTCTGTAGAATCAGTACTTACTTTATAAAACAAAATCAGGGAAGGAAGCACGGCATTTTTCCTACTTAGTTTTAGGGATGCATTGCTTACTCCTGAGTGAGCTGGATCTTGGAATCTCACTGATATTTCTCACTGTCTGATGTATTTTAGGCCACATCTTGTAGAGTCTGTCCAGATTGGGATATCAGAGAAATAGCCAGGTGATGAAACAATCTGAAAACTATCTCATAAGCAGTGGAGGGGAGCTCAGGACTGTGGCCTGGAGAAGAAAAAAAATGAAGTGGAAGTTTGTTGTCTTCAAATAGAGGACTAGGAGGTGGGCTTCAGCTTAGCAGGAAAGAACTTTCTAAAGATCAGTTGTCCATGAGTAGAACAGGCTTTCTCAGTTGCTTATTTCCTCTCCATGAATCCAAAAGTTGCCTGACCATCTGCGCACTGTCAGCACCAACTGACACTATAATATGCGTACACTGACTACAGACCTTTCTCCCTTAGTCCCTGTTGTCCTTATACTTTCCATGTTTTGTTTCTATGTGGTTTTATTCTCGTTATTAAATCAGGACCTAAATTTGTTAACAAGTAACAAGATTATAACCCCGGAGACCCTGGGTTGATCCACAGCACTAGAAAAAGAAGCTCAAAAGAAAAGACTATAATCCAGGTTTTCTGTGCTTTATCCACACCCCAGATAATTTAGTATATAGCCTAACCTTTTAAATGAAAGAATAGAGTTCTTAGTCTTCAATATCAAACATGCTCTAAAGAGACTTTGTGCTGGGCTGGTACATCCCTTCATTTTATTCTTTCTGAGAGAATATTAAGAAATAGTATAGCAGAAGGTTGGAAAGGTTTTGCATATAATTCTATGTCATGTCAAGTATTACAGTTTTGCATAGCTCTTAACTTTTCATGAACATATCTGTCTAGAGTCAGCCTTTTATACTTTATCAAGTTGAGGAAACCAACCCAAAGATGCAGGCTTCCTCTGACTTACAGATGTTTCTGACAGCCTAGGTACCGTGTGCCAGTCCTGTGTTGTCACCACGACACCAGGCTGCCTCAGAGAACTAGGGCTCCACTCTGTTCTCTCCTTGGAGAATGTCCCAGACACACTGGGTAAACACTATGGACAGGCAAGCCCCTACTCTCAGGAACATGGTTTTTATTTTTTTCAGTCTCTGGTTGATAAATATGTTTATTATGTCTTCATCAGGACTATTTTGGAGTCTGTTCAGAGCCAGTGATCAAAGACAACGTGGTGGTGGTTTATGAGGTATTGGAAGAGATGCTTGACAATGGGTTTCCTTTGGCTACTGAGTCCAACATCCTCAAAGAACTGATAAAGCCTCCCACCATTCTCCGGACGGTGGTCAACACTATCACAGGTGTGGGCAGGGCTACAGATGTGGGTGGGGCTGCAGGTGTGGCGGGGCTGCAGGTGGCCACTGCCCCCACAGGCAGCTCTGAGACTTTGGGAATCTCAAGGGTCAGGTGCTTTCATCTCACCTTCAGTGCTCTTTGATCTGGCCTTGATTTTTTTTTTTTGTTTAGAAATTAAGACAGTTTATTAAGAAAGGGAAAGCCTCCTGAGAATCTAAGTGGGCTAGAGCTGAAGGTAAAGCCCAGAGAGCACCAGGCTATGGGGCAGAGGACCCATTATAGGAATTTTACATAACACCCATGTCTCACACATTTGTATATTCAGATCTAGCCTTGATTTGGATGTAGTGCAGTGATAGGGCATTTACCTAGCATCTCCAGCTCCCTAAATTTTTTTTGAATGTGAACATTTTGATAGTATCTTGTTATCCATACTCATTTTTTTTACTACACAGGTTAAAACCTGTTTAAATATCAACTTTTTCCTCATTGTGACTTTTTTTGTGTCTTTTGTTCATTTTTAATAAACTGTTTCTTTTTTAAAATTTTTATCTTATTTTGCATGTATGAGTGTTTTGCCTGCATACATGTAAGTGCATGATGTGTGCAGAGGCCAGAACAGTATCAGATCCTCTGGAACTAGAGTTACAGATGATTGTTAGCCGCCATGTAGGTACTGAGAACTGAACCCAGGTCCTCTGCAAGAGCTTTCTCTCCAGCTCCTACCCCCTTTGTTCATTTTTTATTGAAATTTTTTGTTTTATTCAACACTACCTCGGAAGAATGCCTTTCATTGGCAGTTAATTCAGTCATGGAAGTACAAGTGCTGGTTTGTGGAGTTATGCTTCAAATGCTGCATTCCTCCCGGCCTGTCACTCATCATTTAACCTTGTCCATGGTGTTTGTTGAGCTGCATTTGATTTAGTCAAACTAATCATAGTGGTTCATTAAAATTTACATTTTTGGAAACTGGGGTTTCAGAGAATTTTTTTTGTCTTTTTGAGACAGGGTCTCTTTGTAGCGTCAGCTTCCCTGGAACTTGCTATGTAGACCAGGCTGGCCTCAGTCTAAAAGAGATCCACCTGCCCCTGCCTTCTGAGTGCTGGGACTAAAGGCATGCACCACCATGCCCAGCGATTTCAGAGAATTGAACAAACTGATTTTTGAAAAATACAAATATGAAGAGTAGCCAAAACAGTTTTGCAAAGGAATTACAAAGGGGTTAGATTTGCTTGTCATCTGTCAAGACATATTAAGTTCATGTAGCACAAGACAGAAACTCAGAGTTGCTATATTAGAAGAGCCAAAACAGTCTTACAAATAAATTTTTAAGGGAGTAAGAAAAAACATGTTGTACCAGATATAGAACATCCTATAAAGTTTTGATGACTTAAAACTTCATATAATATTGGCCCAGTAACAAATTCATTGTGTTTTGTAATATTCTAGATTTAGTTTCAGCCTTAAAATCTTTATGAATGTTTTGGGTATTACAAAGTTTTTTAATTCTCACACAGCTGTAGAAAAAACTATCAGAGAATCCCTTTTGAAAAGCTGGAATGTTTTATGCGTGTGCTGAATATACAGATGTTTAGTGTTTCTTTCTTTAGAGTAAAAAGATCCAGTCTGTGAAAAGAGGAAATAGGACTTAAATTAGTTATAGTCATCATTTCAGTTTAAAGTAAGCTTTTGTGCCTATGGGAGCAGAGAATCAAGGAACTAGTGTACAGCCCAGTGTATGGGGCACGGTATGATTGGGGCTCTTTTTGTTCAGGGCTGGAATGAGACAAATCCCTTTGTAGTACATTTCTGCCTTCCATCATGCCTGAGAACCTGTCTCAAGTTAAAATACTGTTTTTACTGATGATGGTTTTCTATCAATATGTAAATGGTGAACCCTGCTGAAACCCAGTACATTATTTAAACTGAAAGCTGTTGTGGAATTTGAGATACTTCTGTTATTCTGGAAACCAATATGATCTCTGCTTCTCAGGTGACCTTTTCTTTAAACCTTTCCTTGAGGCACAGGACCAGATGGTGACAATGAATTTCAAAAATAGACCAGACTGCCCTACACAGAAAGCATAAAAGGCTCCTCTATGTGGTATTGCATGAATAGCAGAATAGAAACATCTAGAGGCATGTTCATGGGTTATTAGACTAATTACCAGTATTAATTTCCTCAGGAAGCACCAATGTGGGTGACCAGCTTCCAACTGGACAGCTGTCGGTGGTGCCTTGGCGACGGACCGGGGTGAAGTACACCAATAACGAGGCCTATTTTGATGTGGTGGAAGAGATCGATGCCATCATTGACAAATCAGGTGGGTGCTGTGCAGATGCTCCTGCTGTGCAGAGGGAGGCCGCCTTCCTGTACTGTGTGCTTGGGTCGGGACAAAACCTCCACCTAGATTTGCTGGAGTTCTACCCTTTGTGGATCTTCTCTTGAATAAAAGGAGTAGTGGGGTTGGAGATTGTAACGACCTAGGTTCAGTCCCCAGCAGTGTTGGGTCAGGATGGTACTGGCGTGACAAGAACAGGTGGGATAGCACAGTCCTTTCATGTCAGCATTCATCTGGGACAGGGGTAGAAGATCAAGAGTTTGAGGCCATTGTGGGCTATGCAGCCAGACCTTGTTATAAAAATCCATATAAGAGAGAGAGAGAAAGAGAGAGAAACTAATTTCTTGTTGGTTAGAATTCCTCTTTGAAAATATTGGATTCCTAGTTCAGATGGCAGAACTAGATTATAATGACAGGATTTTTTTTTAATGGCTATTCAAAATTAAGTAAATAGGACTAGGGGTCCTGGGCCAAGGAATTCTTAGACGACTCTCTTCACATTAGTTTACTGGAGATTTGGTTATAGCACAGTGGTAGATACTGGGCACTGATAATCAGGAAGACAGTCTGTTAGTCTGTGGCTATATAAAAACAGGAAAAGGTGGAGAAGGAGTGGACTTGGCTGTGTGCAGAGGTGACTTGACTGCTTTGTCAGCAGATGAGTCCGTGTCCTCACAACCTACATGGCTTGGGAGCCACCATTCAACAGGGTTTCCAAAAACATTATTGAATTGGGAAGCATAAAAAGAAAAATGAATCCTAAGGCTTGAAAATTAGGGCATCACAGCAGGTTTTCATATTAACCTAAATGAGAAAGAATCTAAATGCCCATTAACAAAGGAAAGGGTGGATAAACTTTGATATGGTCATCCAGTGGAGTGCTATATGGTAGTGAAAATTTGAATTACTAATCTGTCTCACAGCATGGATGACTCTCACACTACTGAGCAGAAAAGTCAGATGCATGCTATTATATACAGTGCATTCCATTTAGTGCAGCTTGAAAGGAGGTTGCAATTTAAGGTAATAGAAATATAATAGAAATCAGAATTTTTGGGATGCCATTAGCTAAGCTGGAGTGAGAAGAACATGTTTGGAAGTGTCTACATTTGATGTGGATGGTATTTACATAGATGTGTACATTAAGCATTCACCAAGCTGTGAGATTTTTATGTTTTGCTATTTTACAACAGTGCAAAAACTTTGCAAACTTGATGGCCACATTATGAAGGGCCCTGTGTGCCATTTAAGGGTGTGGTTGGAGCACTAACAGCTGGAGAGCAGTGTTGTTGCTTAGAGTGGTCAGTCTGGCTGCAGGATGGGAGTAGCCAAAGGTGAGATGGACTGGAGGCAGGGGAATGCAGTAGGAGGCTGTGGCTGAAGTCCTGGCTCGAAGTATAGATGTCCACAGTGAGTAAACACCCCAGGACAGAGAGGAGTCTGCTGCTAGATGGAGTGGTGCATACCTGCTCTCCTAGCACTAGGAAGCTGAGTCAAGAGAAGCCATTTTGAGGCTAGCCTGGGCTATAGAAAACTGGTATTTGGGTAGACATGGAGAGAGAGGATGCAGGACTAGTTCAAGATGGGCATGGCTCAGGCAGCTGGATGGACAATGTTATACGTATGTCATATGTCACATACATACCGAAATGAGAGGAGCCATCAGAGAGGCTGGTTGAATTTGCTGTTGACAAGTGGAGTTTGCAGCACCCATGACACCTGGGGGTTGTCCGTCAGTCAGGTTTGAGGCCAAGTTTGAAAACATGGTACAAAGCATTGGGTGTGAATGGAGACTGAAGATGGGAAGGGCTGAGCACCACAAGAGAATGGGGGAAGGAAGTGCCGGCCTGGGCACAAGTGACATCTCGGGACATGCAGGGACCTGCACATGCTGAGGAAGAGCATCTGGATACACAGGGGAAGACTGGAAGAGAAGAGTGTTTATAGAAGAAGTAGTCTGCAGTGACAAGTTTACAGAAAGACATCATAGGATGAGAGACCTTGGATTCCACAGCTAAGCTCCTTCAGAGCTCAGGGAGGACGGGTTCTGCTAACAAATGTTCTGCTCCATTGGTTCAGAAGGTGCTCTGTGTGACTTTGGCATTGGTGGGGATCCTTTAAGGTACTAACTGTTTCAGTGGTCTCTATTTTCACAGGTCCCTCAGAGTTCTCAGACTTGAGCTTGGAAGATGGAAAGATCGAATGAATAAATGAACTGGGCAGCTAAACAGAAGAAAGGAGGACTGGAGGGAGGAGGGGAAGAGAAGGGGAGGGAAGGACAGGTTTCTGTGGTCTGCAGCACTCCTGTCTCATCCCTCAGGTTCCACAGTCACTGCTGAGATCCAGGGGGTGATTGACGCCTGTGTCAAGCTGACTGGGATGCCAGACCTCACTCTTTCCTTCATGGTAATGTCCAGGGCCAGTGCTCACCTTCCTGGGATGGGAAATGTGAGGCTTCTGCAGAGTGGTGAGAATAAGCAGTAATGTGGGTGGATGCTAAGCCTGCACCAAGCTTGGGACATGCATGTGCACATTAGTGAAAACGCCATCTGCATCGCTTCCAAGGAAACCTGGGGTGCTGACTCCCGCTTCTTGATCTCCCTGCCTGGTTCTGCAGAACCCCAGGTTGCTGGATGATGTCAGCTTCCACCCCTGTGTTCGTTTCAAGCGCTGGGAGTCAGAGCGCATCCTCTCCTTCATCCCTCCTGATGGCAACTTCCGCCTACTCTCCTACCACGTCAGTGCACAGAAGTAAGCAGCCGTCAGGGCAGAATCTGTGTCTGTGGAAGCCATGTCTTAGCTGTGGGCTCCATTTACCTAGGCTCAGGTTCCAGCTCCTTAAATTGCTAGTTGTGTCAGTGCAGTGATCTGCTCCCTATCCCCTGTCTGTTTTCTGTTTTGGAAATGACAGTTACCTCTTTGTAAGGATTGAGTGGCTCCTTCATGCACACTAAGTACCCACTGAGGCTGCTACTGGGGTGGTGTTTTTGAGACCATCTTGCTCCCTGATCTAGTTTGCTCTGGAATTTGCTTTGTCTTTTCAGCTGGCCTTGAACTCGTAATCTTCCTACCTAGCCGTCACCAGCCTAGCTGCTGCTGTTACTTTTGTTGTTACCTGTCAAAAGAACATTTTTCTCTGAATACTGGGATATCACCCCACAAAGCATTTGTTTGTTTTGAAAGCATGTAAAATGCAGAGAGTTCCGGGCTCTCACATCTGTATTTGGAGGATGGGAGCTTTCGGAAGCACTGTTGTGCAGTGCAAGGTACGCACACTGAGGAGTGTTGGGAGCCAAAAGACTCAGAGCCGGGGCCTCCCTCACTGGTGACTAAGGATGAGTCATTTTGGAAAATGTCTGTGTGCTGAGGTCAAAGGCTCTGGAATCAGACTACCTGGACTTAAACCCCACCTTGATCCTTGATATTATTGTTTTCTGTGTTTAAGATGTAAGGTGTAAATAAGGAAAAAAAGCTGCTGATGGGACAAGAGACACATAATGGAAGGAGGAAGTAGTGGCCATTTTCCTTAGTGCCTCGATGGAGTGAAAAACACTAAACCCCTAAAAACCAAAAATGAATTTAAAAAGCTCCCAGAGAGATGACTCCTGGGTAAAAGTGCTTGTAGTAAAGGCTGGCCTCCTGAGTTCATCCCAAAACCCACACAAAGGTGGAAGGGAGAACTGAGTCCTTATAGTTATCCTCAGGCCACCACACGTGTGAGCATCCACACACATCATACACACACAAGAGTAATAAAAAATTTAAAGAGAACAGTGAAGAGGTTTTTTTTTAAAGGTTTATTTATCATTATTTATGTATGTGTTTGTTTGCATGTATGTAAGTGCACCACATGTGTGTCTGGTGCCCATGGAGGCCAGAAGAGGACATCAGTTCCCTAGGGACTGCAGTTATAGGTGGTTGTGAGTTGCCATGGGGTGCTGGGAACCGAACTTTGGTCCTCTATAGGAGTAGCAGGTGCGCTTAGCTGCCCAGCCATCTCTCCAGACCCCCAGGGCTGTTTTCTTTCTGAAGAAGGTGTTTTGTTTCTTTTGCAGCCTGGTTGCAATTCCTGTCTATGTCAAGCATAGTATCAACTTCCGAGACAGTAGCTCACTTGGACGATTTGAAATCACAGTGGGACCCAAACAAACCATGGGGAAGACTATAGAGGGAGTGATAGTTACCAGCCAGATGCCCAAAGGAGTCCTGAATATGAGCCTTACTCCGTCCCAGGGAACGCACACATTTGACCCAGTGACAAAGGTAAGGGAATGGGCTGTACCTGGTTGGAGGACAAGATTAATCAAAAGGACTTTGTTAAAAGGTTGGTGACAGAAGAAATCCTCTAGATGCAGCTTGGAATCTGGCCGACAGATGCTCTGAGATTGGATTTTGGAGCTCAGGCAAAGGCCACTATGACTATGTGGAACGACCCACTACTTACCTGTTTTCTTTCAAGATGCTGTCTTGGGATGTAGGAAAAATAAACCCACAAAAGCTGCCAAGTTTGAAAGGGACCACGAGTCTTCAGGCCGGAGCTTCTAAACCAGATGAGAACCCCACAATTAACCTGCAGTTTAAGATCCAGCAGCTAGCCATTTCTGGTGAGTGGCATATCTTGGGTGATTTTGAAGGGAGCAGAAATGGCTTTCTTCTACCAGGTGCAGGCACCATCGTCTTCTTGGGACTCACTGATGTTGGGGAATACACAGGTATGGTTTTATTGCCTGGTACGGAATCATTAGATTTTTCCCAGCGCATTTCTGGGGGATGTTTAGAAGCTAGCCTGGGGACCCTGAGTCAAAGTGTCTTGGACACCAATAAGAAACGGACTGTTGTTGAGTCATCATAGGGTATTGATTTGAGCTTTCCAAGGCTTTCAGAATTGAGGGTGCTTCTGTGTTCTCCACTGGAAACAGGAAGGGATATGCCCTGCCCCTTTCTCCCAGACTTTGATGCCTGCTATCTTTAGAACATTGCCAGTGGAGTCCAGTTTGCATGCACTTAGGAAAGTAATAATAGATGTCATTTCCTGGGTATTTTTAGATGCCAGCTACTCCTGAAGAATTTTTGTTTATTCTTATTTAATTCTTAGAATAACCTTATAAGGTGCAGAGAAATTGGTTTTAGCTTTAGATAGCATTTTTGGTTTTCTTTACTAAAAGACTGACTAATTAGGTGATCAGACTTCAGTTAAATAATGACTTCTTTCTTCCTAAACCACTTAATAGGCATAAAGCTGTATACAAAATATTTTTGTTTAATGTGACAAGAATACTTAGGAAGGATTCATTGGTAAATTCATTATCTTTCATTGTTCATTGATTTTTTTACCATTAATTCATTTGGTCCAATAACTTGTGCAAATATTGAGTCCTATTTTCGTCTCACCTTCATTGGAATCTGTGTATAACTCTACCCTTTCTACTGAGATTTTCTTCCAGGATAGCTCTTTGTTGACACAGTCTTTACTGTAGATGTGTGTGCCAGGGTTGCAGAACTGTCTCCCTCAGCTTCATGGAAGGGACTTGTTAGAGCAATCTCTCTGTATTAGTCAGGGTTCTCTAAAGAAACAGAACCAGTAGAAAGAACAAACGTGTGTGTGTGTGTGTGTGTGTGTGTGGTGTATTTATTAGCTTAGCTTGCAGGATAGAGTCTGAGTAGTCCAACAATGGCTGCACTACACTGGAGAGGCTGAGAATCCAGTAGTTGCTCAGTCCACAAGGCTGGATGTCTCAGTAGTCCGAATCTGGCGTGGAAGTCCTGACGGATTCCAAGAGATCTGCTGGTCTTCACTCTATGTTGGAATCAGAAGTTGGTCACAGCAGCAAGATGAACTCACCAGTGAGAGAGAAGGCAAGCAGCAAAATAGCACAAGCCCTTTCTGCCACAGCCTTTTATATTTTATACAGCTGCCATTAGAAGGGCGGACCTTCCAGCTTCAAATGATCCAATCAGGAAGGTCTCTCTGATTTTAGTTAATCCAGATCCAGTCAAGTTGACACCCAGGATTAGCCATCACAAGTCCACCCTTTATCAACTTGATACCCAATAGCATCTCCTCATGTCATACTTAATTTTCAAATGAAAACAATGGCAAGGTCATGATCCACCTAACATGATATGACTATCCAATGTAAAATCACAAATGCGTTATATATCTTAGAGTAGGTGATAAAGTCTTCGAGGGATGCTTAGTCCTTTAGTATTTCATAACCTAAATATGACAACATAGATTTACAACACTTAACACTTATCTCAATTACACATTCAAAAGGGAACAGCACAAATATCTGCTTAATATGTATGTATATATTGCACAAGCACATTCTTAATCAAATAGGACAAAACTGCTCATGTCAATTACAGTCCACCTTTCTGCGACCTGTCACGTGGTGTGAGCTGATATTTATAACTGCCTTCCTCTACTACAGTCTGCATTTCCTCTACCATCAGCAAGCACCTCTGCAGGTCTTGGCTCTTTCACTGGAGGAGTGACCCATACCTTCTTCCCTGAAGGGTCTGAATCATTTGTTTTCCTTTCTAGATTGGGTTGTTGCAGTTTCCCATTGACCTTAATCACAGGACATGGCAACACCAAAAGACGCCCTAAGGAATCTCCTGCCTTCCAAACAAATCTTCCTGATCTCTGTTGTGGAGAAACAGCCCAGTTTCCCCCTGGCAGTCTGGGTCAATCACCCCTCCTAATACTGTTATTCCTTTCTTAGCCTGCTTACTTGAGGGCATCAGAAGCCCAGAATGGCCAGGGGGAAGTCTTGGCTTCCAGTTCAATGGAATTTTTGTTGTGTCTCCTAGAAGAAGCACTCCCCCCCCCCGCCCCCGAACCAAAACTTCTAGGTTAGCAGAGCACAAAGTCTCAGGTATAGGAAGAAAAAATTTTCCTTGCGACTTACTAGGGGTGATAGTGAGTGGAATCATTTCCACTTCTACCCCTTGATTCCTGGACCCATGAATCCTGACTATAGGAGAAACTGTACCACATATTGGATACTGATTCAAAGCATACACTGCCTTCTGAAGGACCCTGCCCCAGCCCTCCAGGCTACTGCCACCCAATTGGTGCTATAACTGTGTTTTTAAGAGGCCATCTCTCTGTCAAGCCAGCTGCTTCAGGATGGTGGGGATCATGGTAAGACCAGTGGATTCCATGACCACAGGCTCACTGTCATACTTCTTTGTCTGTGAAGTGAGTTCCCTGGTCAGAGTGATGCTGTGCGGACTACCATGATGGTGGATAATGCATTCAGTAAGCCCCTGGATGGCAGAAGCATTTTTTGCAGGAAAGGCAACTCCATAACCAGAATAAGTGTCTGTTCCTGTAAGGACAAAGCACTTTCCCCTCCATGGTGGAAGTGGTCCAGTGTAGTCAACGTGCCACCAGGTTGCAGTCTGGTCACCACGGGGAACAGTGCCATATCAGGGGCTCAGTGTTGATCTCTGCTGTTGGCAGATCTGGCACTCAGCAGCAGCTGTAGCCAGGTCAGCTTTGGTGAGTGGGAGTCCATGCTGTCGAGCCCATGCATAAGCTCCATCTCTGCCACCATGGCCACTTTGTCCATGGGCCCATTGAGCAATGACAGGGATAGCTGAAGAAAGAGGCTGACAATCCACAGAGCAGGTCATCCAATCTACTTGATTATTGAACTCATCTTCTGCTGAAGCCACCTTTTGATGAGCATTTACATGAGACACAAGTATGTTCATATCCTTTGCCCATTTGGAGAGATCTATCCACATACTTCTTCCCCAAATGTCTTTCTCACCAATTTTCCAATCATGCTCCTTCCAAGTCCCTGACCATCCAGCCAAACCATTGGCTTACAGCCCATGAATCAGTATATAATTGCACTTCTGACTATTTCTCCTTCCAAGCAAAATGCACCACCATGTGCACTGCCCGAAGTTCTGCCCACTGTGAAGACTTTCCTTCCCCAGTGTCCTTCAGGGTTGTTCCAGAAATTGGCTGTAATGCTGCAGCTGTCCACTTCTGAGTAGTGCCTGCATAGCGTGCAGAACCATCTGTAAACCAAGCCATAGTCTTCTCTTCCTCAGTCAACTGATCATAGGCACACCCCATGAAGCCATAGGTGCATGCATAAGAACAGGAGGCATCGTAACCAGAGTAGGAACCATAGGCATTTGGGCAACTTCTTCATGTGACTTGCTTGTGCCCTCTGGGCCTGCTCGAGTCCAATCACATATATACCACTTCCATTTGATAATGGATTGTTGCTGTGCACGGCCTACTTTATGCCTTGGGGGGTCAGATAACACACAGCTCATGATGGGCAGCTCAGGTTGCATGGTAACTTGGTGGCCCATTGTCAAACATTAGGTTTCCACTATGGCCCAATAGCAGGCTAAGAGCTGTTTCCCAAAGGGAGAAGAGTTGTCTGTAGATGAAGGTAGAACCTTCCTCCAAAATTCCAGTGCCTCCACTGTGGTTTCCCTATGGGGATCTGCCAGAGACTCCAAATGGCATCTCTGTCTGCCACTAATACCTCAGGCACCATTGGGTCTGCTGGACCATATGGCCCAAGGGGCAGAGCAACCTGCACAGCAGCCTGGACCTGTTGAAGAGCATTTTCCTGTTCCATGCCCCACCAGCTAGCTGCCTTCCGAGTCACTTGATATATGGGTTGTAGTAACACACCCAGATGAGTAATGTGCTGCCTCCAGAATCCAAACAGGCCCACTAAGCATTGTGCTTCTTTCTTGGTCAAGGGAGGGGCCAAGTGACATAGCTTATGTTTCACTTTAGAAGGAATGTCCCTGCATGCTCCACACCACTGAACTAGAAATTTCACTGAGGTAGAAGGCCCTTGAATTTTGGTTGGATTTATTTCCCATCTTCTCATGCGCATATGCTTAACCAAGTCCAGACTGGTTGCTACCTCCTGCTCACTGGATCCAATCAGCATAATGTCATCAATATAGTGGACCAGTGTGGTATTTTGTTGGAGAGTCAGGTGATCAAGATCCCTTCGAAGGAAGTTATGGCACAAGGCTGGGGGGTTAATATGCCCTTGAGGTAGGACAGTAAAGGTATACCGTTGGCCTTGCCAGCTGAAAGAAAATTGCTTCTGGTGTTTCTTATGAACCAGTATTGAAAAAGGTGTTTGCTAGGTTAATAGCTGCACACCAGGTACTAGAAGATGTATTTATCTGCTTCGGTAAGGAAACCACATCTGGTACAGCAGCTGCAATTGGAGTCACTACTTGATTAAGTTTTCAATAGTCAACTGTCATTCTCCATGAGCCATCTGTCTTCTGCACAGACCAAATAGGAGAATTAAAGGGAGATGTGGTGGGAATCACCACCCTTGCAATCTTTCAAATCCTTGATGGTAGCACTAATTTCTGCGATCCCTCCAGGGATGTGATACTGTTTTTGGTTTACTATTTTCCCTGGCAGAGGCAACTCCAGTGGTTTCCATTTGGCCTTTCCAACCATAATAGCCTTCACTCCAGGGAACCAATGTGGAGATTCTGCCAGTTTCTAAGTATATCTATCCCAATAATACATTCTGGGGCTGGGGAAATAACCACAAGATGAGTTTGGGGGCCCACTGGACCCACTGTGAGTCAAACTTCAGCCAAAACTCCATTTATCACCTGACCTCCATAAGCCCCTACTTTAACTGGAGGGCCACAATGCTTTTTAGGGTCTCCTGGAATCAGTGTCAACTCAGAACCAGTGTGCAATGGGCCTCGGGAAGTCTGATTATTTCCTTTCCCCCAGTGTACGGTTTCTCTAGTAAAAGGCCGCAGGGCCCTCTGGGGAAGGATGGGAGAAAGGAGAACAACATAACTCTTTGGTAGCGTGACAAGGTCCTTCCTCAAGGGCACCAGCCTTTTCTTCATTCAAGGGGTTCTGGGTCTGTAAACTGTCTCAAATCTGGAAATTGGTTGACTGAACGGGATTCTCTATTTCTATGATCCAATGTCCATTTTCTGTCACTTGTAGAGCTTTTCTGCTTATACAGATCAAATAAAAACTTAGTAGGCTTCTTATGTATTTGGTCCTTGGAAACACTGTGATTGATTAGCCAGTACCAAAGGTCCATTCTGCTCACCTTACCTTTGGCAATTCACTTCTGCCACCTGACCCCTACTCCAAGGTCCTGTTAAACCCTGTGCATTTACACTTAATTGATACAACTGAGCAGCAGCATCTCCACCTTTTAAGATCTGGAACAGGAAAAGAGTAAAAACAAAGCTCTTCAAATGTGCTGGTGCCTCTCTCAGTATTTTCCATCTTATAAAATCAGTGAAAGGCATGTCCTCTGGGCCCTCCCAGCTTCTTTTTTAACTGTGTGAGCTTCCATATTAAACCTAGAGTCTCCAGTCAGCGGGCCCATGTTCCTTCCATCATGACCCCACAGCCTTATGATGCATTCCCACACATGTTCCTCAGGCTTCTGTTTGAATGAATTAGCAGACTCACTAAGTTCTTTAGTGGTGTAGCACACCTCCTCATGGTCCACACTTTCTAGCTCACTTCTAGGGGCCTGCTTAGCCTGGAGTCTGGTTATAGGTCTAGAGGCAACAGTTGCTGGCCACTGAGGGACATCAGCTTTGTCTTGCAGCATGGGGTTAGTTCCCTGGGGAAGCGTGGGGAGGGTGGGTCTGCAGGGTGTGCTGATGGTGGGGAGATTAATTCATCAGGTCGAGTAAATTCCTCAGTCTGAGTCAAAGTCTGAGCCCCTCATCAGGGCTCACCCAAACATCTCCATCTCTTGTGTCAGGATCCCACTCTTACTGCTGGGAATTAAATTTGTGTTTTAAGTCAGCCAAACTTATAATAAGGGCTCCAGCTTGATTTTCTGCAACTTTAGTTCTCTGGCTGCTGGAGAGGAGACTCTCTTCCGGGTACATGTAGACATCTTTAGACTGTTGATGTGAATCTGGAGTCAGTAAATTTTATCATTTCTTTTTTCCCTCCATCACTTTATTCAGGATTGATAGATGCAACTAGCCAAATCGCTAATTTTATTTATCCCCCAATTGTCAAACGTTTTACATATAAAGTCTCTAAATTCCTTGCTCTTCACAGAAGGTGAGTTTGAAGACTCAAATGCGTTTATCTTCATAATTTCTTTAAATAGTTCACGCCATGGTTTTTCAGTTCTCTCCACGCTACCAGGGGAGTTTTTAGTAACTAGGTTTCCTTGAGTTGGAGAGCCTGCTTCAGATACCACCAAGCCCATGAAAGAAATTCATCCTTTGAATTCTGTTTCTCTAAAACCACTCCTGGTACCAATTTCTGTTCTAGTTTGTTTCTCCATTACTATGACAAAACACTCTGACTGATACCATCTTGGGGAGAAAAGGGTTTATTTGGTTTACATTTCCCAAGTCACACTGGTCAACAGGAAGCCCAAGGTAGGAACTCAGGGAAGGAACCTAGAGGCAGCAGAAACCCAGTAAGTAGCGATCCTCCATGGCCTGTGCTCCAGCTCCTGCCTCCAGGTTCCTGCCTGGGCTCCCTGTTGAACTGTGACCCGAGAGATGTAAGCCAAATAAACCCTTTCCTCCCCAAGTTGGTACTGGTCAGAGTGTTTTGTCACAGTCATGGAGAAACAAACTAGAACACTCTTTCACATGAAACAATGCAGAGAACTGTCCACTTGCTTCTTCTGAATGGTACTCACATCTTATTCCTCTCCTCCTCCCTCCATCCAGGACTCAAAGTGAACCGTCTGGATATGTATGGAGAGAAGTACAAGCCCTTTAAGGGCATAAAATACATGACCAAAGCCGGGAAGTTCCAAGTTAGAACCTGAACGGAGCATCTTACCAAGGGAGCAGTCGCGAACACTTTTTTATTTCTTACTTGTCTAAAGGTAAAATATGAGCCTGTCCCTTAGGTGAGTCCTCCAGGTCCACTTGCTTCCTTTTGTCCTCAGCCTTCAGTGCCATGGAACTAACCAAGGGAGTAAAGTTTCACCAGTGAGAACGTAGCCAAACAGCATGGCACTGGCTGAGTTCTAGAGAAGAGATGGTTACCATAGAAAAAGACCAGCATTTGCTGCTTGCTTGGTTTTAATTATCTAAAGCCAGTGGAAGATGTCTTTATTGATTTTTTTTTAAGATAGGAAGATTTGAAAGAAAGAAAGATTGGAAGAAAAATGGGTGTTAGTCCAAGAAAGCCAGTTAAAGATCCGACCTGTAGGGCTGGGCTGTGACTCAGTGGTGGAGTGCTGGCCTAGCATGCACAAGCCCTGGATCATTTCCAGGACTACCCACAACACAAAGCAGGTCTGTTCTATGAGGGAGAAGAAAGAAGCTCAGTGTGAGGACAGTGGTTGTGAAGAGCGATACTAAGTGAAAGAAAGATTGGTTAGGAGAGTGCTCAGAGTCAAAGGCTGGGAAGAGCAAAGCAGAATTGGTTTCTTTCTGACCCTTCTCTGCTAATATATAAAAATGATTTACTTCTCCAGAACTGGAACTTCTTAAGTCTACTCTTGATGTGAAATCTCAGTGGGATTACATTTACCCTTGGAAACTGGTGTGTTGGCCTGACCTTCAGATTCTCACTCTGGTTGCACTGGCCCACTGTCTTTGGTGGGAAGGTGATGTGCCTGCTTCCAGAGCAGTTTACAGCCTTTTCCTGATTACCTGATTCCTTGAAGGGGTTCCCCCAAAGCAGCAGTTTTAGTGCAGCCAGCCTTCATGAATCATTGTAGTGGAGTCAAGACGATTTCCCAGGGAGGTGGGTCATGCCTATGTTGTATGACCCTGTGTTAGTTTTTGTCCAGCTATACTGGCCCCGGGCCCTGGTCCTTCCTATCCGAAGGTTCCCATCAGCAACTCTGGGTAGAAAGAATGCTCACCACTGAGGCACAAGTGCATGAAGCTACTTGGTAAAGTTACCATTCTCTCCAGCCTGTATGCTAACATCTACTTATCAACAAAAGTAAAAAAAAAAAATCTCTTAAATCTTTGAATAAAAGTCAATACTGTAGGGCCAGACTGTGTTGATTGTGAATAACCTACCAGTCCAAACCATGGCAACTAAAGGAACATGACTTTCCTGAAGAATGATTTTTATTCTATTTCAATGTTACTCATTTTAATACTATATAAAACAGGATTTGTTGTTTTTAACTTCAAACTTAGGGAACAGGATTGTGCTCCCTGTGGCACATGGAAAGAAGACCTGTTTTCTCCAGACTGTTCCACTTATCCCCAAAGTTCTGGGTCTAAGTCCTGGTGTTTTATTTTGTTTTCCCCTAGTTTTATCTTGCTGATGCTGGACTTATTTTTGCTTCAGAGCAGTGTTCTTTGTGGTTTTCCTGTGGGATAAACTATACTGTGTACAATCAGATGTTTCTTACTACATCACTCCAGAATCGACTACTGTAGGCAGTGGGGAGACATTCTGCAGGTGGATTTTAGAACCCAGAGTCACTTCTAAGGGCTCTGGAGATTTGGGGGTTTTTTGGGCCACAGGAAACTGTCTTGATCCCTGAATACATTTAGGTTTGTAAGTGCAGCTGTTTTATTTCCACTAGAGCAGTAAAGCTTGTTTACCTAGCAAGAGTCAATGTTACAGAGTATGGGACATACATACCTAAGCATTATGGATGTAGCTGACCTCTGGAGCATAGCTGAGCCTCACTGCTTCTGCCTAGTGAATGTCAGTCAGCAGGGGTGATGCAGGATGTGGTTGAAATGTGCATAAGAAGCATTTCTGTTTAAGTCCTAATAAAGCTTTACCAGTCCTTTGGCCTCCGTCTGGTTACTGAGACTAAAAGAAACACTGCTGTGCTTTCTTTCCTTAGTAGAACAATATATTTGGGAGACCTAAAGCCGTGCGTACCGAGCTAGTCACCTCTGGAAGACAGGGAATGTTTTGTACTAGTGTTATTTTTATAGTTGGTAACAGCTAAGGTCCAGATCCGTTGAATTATTTTCTCCCAAGTTATAAAAGGCAGTCATCAAAGCTGCCAGTGCTTACCCTAGTGCCTTCCCTGTTCTCCCTGGCTTCAGGTTGATTAATTTGGGCAGGAAGCAGGGCTACAAGGTCTCAGGTGTCTCTTGTAGAGGTTTCTGGGGCAAGATAGGTATTAGGGCAGTCTGATGCTCCTAGTCAGCACCAATATATAGCTGGCAATATTCCATTGTTGAACTGACTTTCGAAGATTTGTGTTCACTACCCACAAGGCTGTAGTGTAAAGACTGTAGTGTCGCTTTCTCTTATTCTTTTATATTTGTTTGTTTGTTTTTTGTTTTTTATTACTTATTTATTTATTTATTTATTTATTTATTTATTTATTTATTTATTGTGTCTGTAGTGTGGAGGACCACACAGGCCACAGCATGCATGTGGAAGTCAGAGGACAACTTGTGGGGGTCAATTTTCTCCTTCCACTTTATGGGTCTTGGGGATCAAACTCAAAATCATCAGGCTTGGCAGCAAGTGCTTCATGCACTGAACCATCTTTGGGCATTTGTCAGCACAGTATTCCTCCACCTTTCCCCAGCAACTGCATTCTGAAAATATTGAATGAAAGATTTCAGAAATACGCAATTGTGCACCATTTTGAGTAGCTTGATGATGTCTTTAACTGTCCTGCTCTGTCCCATCACAATCTGTCAGGCACCACCCTTCCCTGGACATGAATCATCCCTTGCCCATTGTCTACACACTATAGACCATGTGCCTTCTGGTCACTAAGGCCCTGTCTTGGCTCAGACATGCTGGAGTCTTATTGCAGTGTTTGTGTCCAAGTAACCCTTATTTTACTTGGTGACTCTAAAGCAGAAGAGTAGTGCTGCAGATTTGGACAGGCCAAGAGAAGCCAAGAAAGCCGAAAGAAAATGCTTCCTCTCCGTGAAACGTGGGTTTTCAGTAAGGAGAAGAAGTCGTACATGGAGACTCCTAAGATCTCAGTGGGAACAGCACTTCCAACTGAAATCATAAAAAGAAAGTGTGTACGAGTTTTACTCTCACACTGCAAGAGTTACAGCTGTAGTGCTTTGTAAGTGCTTAGTTCAAATGGCAAAAGCATCAGTTTTGTGGGGAGGAGCCATGTTACACACTGCATTCAGCCAACATGGAGACTTCAGCAAAGGATCCCTGGGAACAAGAGACAGCAAAGCATTTACTGTGTGGTAAGGGATGACAAAGGAAGAAAGCACGCACTCACGAAAGCTTTTGATAACAATAGAGTCATTCTATCCTGCTGTCAGTTATTGCCTGATGTGTAAACTTATAGGAAAGATAGTGTGTTGGGTTGGATACTGTCTGTCTTCAGGCACCCACTGGGATCTTGGAGCATGTCCCTACAGATCAGGGTGACTGCCATACCTCCCTATGTCTGGCTGTTTGGGGAGCTTGGTTGTAGGAAGTTGTATTTTCCTCTATACCAGTAGGTGGTGACTAGCTTCCATAGATACTAATGTTTGTAATTGTTTTTAAAGAGGAATTTAATGAAAAACTCATTTCCTCCAAGGTCTTCAGTATTAAGGGTAGTGTGTCCAGCTTTCAAAGAGTAGACGGTCTATGACACTTTTCGGTGAAGAGGCCTGAGCTTTGGAAGGACAGGGATCAACGCTGTGAGCTCTTCTTGGTCTTTACCAACTAAAGTTACACAGTTGCTTGGGACTCTGCTTGCTGTTGGCCTCTGTTGATTAATCGGTAAATAATGGGGCAATATGTAATTTCCTTTTCTACTCATTCCCTTCTGGTAAGTTCCAGATGCCATGGCCTGCATTTCCTACCCGCACTGCGCAGGGTTGGGCTTCGTTGACTATTCCGTGTGATTCAGGTGACTTGCTGGACTGGGACTTTGCCCTGTAACTCAGGCTGCTTCTGAGTGAATGTCTTCATCTGCTTGTAGTTTCCAAGACTTCACTCAGGAATCCTGGGGCCTTTGACTCTGTGTTTTCATTCCTGGAGGCTTTTCTGCTTCAGTTCATCCCATTAACTCCAGTGTCTGAAGAAAAGTATCATACTGGGGAGCGGTAGAGCCTACCTTGACCCCCAGTCCTGGGAGTCTTGCTTACTTGCTTACTATTATCGACAGTGGGCTGAGATGCATTTCTGTCTAAAATTGAATATTATATCAGAACATGTAAGCCAATTGTGTGAAGTCAAGAAATCTACTGGGCCTGGTGATAGAGGCCTTGAATCCTAGCACTTGAGAAGCAGACGCAGAGGGATGGATTGCTGTGAGATCAGGGCCAGCCTGGTCAAGTTCCAAGTCAGCTGGGGTTACAGGGAGACCCCGTCTCAAAAAACCAAAAAGAAAAAAGAGAAAAAGAAATCTGTGATTTACATCTGACTCTAGAGACCAGCAATTATAGATGATAGGGAAACCATCACCAATGTTTCTGCATTAAGCTCCTGGGATTCAGAGAATCTCTTTTGTGAGTTTAGGATACTTCCAAAACCCTCTTAAACTGGACAGTACAGACAACGTCTCAAGAAATACTTTTCTTACTTCCTAAGAAAGTGTTAGCCAGCCACACCCAAGAGCAAGCATTGCATTGTGGGATGGATTCTTGGAACAAGCCTGTGGTGAAGAAAGCTGGAGGCTACCTCAGGAACATGGGTCACATGCCACAGGAGGTAAGGTAGCATTCAAGGGCCAGTGAGACAGCTCAGTGGCAAGGAGCATGTGCCACACAGGCTCAAGGACCTGAGTTTGATCTCCAACCATGTGCACTGTGTCATACATACCCTCACACATATACATCATGGAGAGAGAGAGAGAGAGAGAGAGAGAGAGAGAGAGAGAGAGAGAGAGAGAGAGAGAGAGAGGGGAGGACAGCTAGGGCAGCGCGTGGGAACAGGAGAGAGAGAGAGAGAGAGAGAGAGAGAGAGAGAGAGAGAGAGAATGATATTTGCATGCACTGGTCTGGGAGCTAATTGTTTCCGATGAGCAGAAAAACAAAACAGACTGGGGGGAGGGGGTGAAGGCCAAGATAATAGCATCTAGTCTGAACTAGCAGTTGAGCTGTTGCTATGTCCACAGAGTGACACAGCTCTCTACCTACTCTGTGGTCATAGTGTGATTGATTTTCCTGAGTTATCCTCAGTTCCTCACCCCCTGGTGCAAAACACTCACTTGGCTTTCAGAGCCCCTAACATCCAATCTAGTCCTGATCAAGAGTTCACATCAGGCTTGGGCTGTAGTTAGAAGTAGAGTGGTTGTCTACACAAGGTCCTGAGTTCAATCCTCAGTACTGTGAAAATAACAAAAAACACAGGGTATAGGTTTAGGCCAGTGAGATGGTTCAGTGGGTAAACATGCCTGCTTCCAAACCTGAGAACTTTAGTCCCTGGGACCTATGCAGTGGAGAGAAAGAACCAACTCCTGCAGGTTATCCTCTGACCTCCACATGTGCTCCATGACATGCATGTATGAGCATACTGTTGCATGCATCTGCACAAGCACACACACATACACACACACAGATATATTTTTAAACGTTCACTTCATACAAAATGCTGCTTATTCCCCATACCCCATGGCCTCTGGTCACCAAGTCTTCATTGTTTCAATAGTGAAATTCTGGCTTTCTTTTACCTGCCCAGTAACCCAGTCTCCATTGTGTGAAAAGTTCTGAATCTTACTTTTCCTCAGGATTCATTCTTCCTCCCCACAACTGAGCTCCACTGAGGTCTAAGTTGTGCTGTGACCTGTCCATTTCACATTGTTACTTCTGTAAATGCCTTATGTTGCTGTCCAACCTAGCTCTCTCCCAACCCCTGTCTACTCTCAGTGTCACCCAGCACATTGCCTTTGGGTGGGTAGCAAGATTTTCATACATGTTGAATGAATGAAAGGAAGTCATTCAAATAAATTTTTTAAAAAATGTAAACAGCCAGACGTGGTGGTGCACGCCTTTAATCCCAGCACCCAGGAGGGAGAGGCAGGTGGATCACTGTGAGTTCCAGGCCAGCTGGGGCTACAGGGAGACCGTGTCTCAAAAAGACCAAAAAAAAAAAAAAAGTGAACACAGGTTAATAAATAAGCCATGGGATATGTATGTCCCATTTGAGAAGTATGAAAATACCTCTGAATTTATTATTTAAGTACAGTATAATACAAACTTATGACAACAAAGTAAAAACTAAAAGATTAACATAAATATGCAATAACCTAGTCCATTAATTATAAAAATTACAGTTTTCCCAACCATCTATAAAGTTTATAAAGAAGAAAAGATTTACACTATGCACAAAAGGAATACTCTTCAAGAGTTGGGGAAGGGAAGGGGAAGGGGAATATTTTATTTCAAGGGCTTTGGGGGAATATGATCTTGCCAACCAGCTCATCCCTCACCTGGAGACCCTGTTGGGCCTGCTTGTAACTACAAATGCACATTCCATTCCTAATAACCTATCTCCTGAAGGATTGAGTTGGATTTTATTGTTGAGACATTTTTGTGGTCCCATTTCCAAAGCTATACAGTGGGTCAGGAGGGCAGGCTTTACTCTACCTCTCTACTTTTTGTAAGTGGTGGAGTCTAAGAGGGCATTTGCCTGTCTTCTCATCTGACAGAATATATCCTGAAGTGAGAATTTCATCCCTGAAGACTTCCACACTGTTAGAGAAAAATGCTTTGTCATCTCCCACTGACTCTCCTCTACAGTTTATGGAGATAATAGCGCAGAGAACACTTGGCCTTTGAGGTGTGTCTTATGGCGAAGAGGAAGGCAGACCCTTCTCTGGATTCAAGCTGGGTTTTCTTGGTCATTGTTGCATGTTGTCATGAATCCAGTCTAGATAATTAGTGACCTTTGTGTATATTCCAGGAACATCCTTCTGCCCACAGCCAAGGCCCCAGCTGATGATGCCAACCAAAGTCATGCGTTTATTGTTCTCACACACCAGGGGCCCTCCGGAGTCACCCTGTGGAGGAGCACAGGTTAATTTGAACACATGGCATGATGTTTGGGAGAAAATTAGGATTGTTACTTATGGTGCAAAGATTGTAGTCCTCAATGTACTTCATTTAGAGTTGGAAACTTAAGTCCTATTTCTTGATCCTATAGAAGATTAGGCTGTATCTGACAAAACAGAATGAAGATAACTGCTCAGAGCTGGGGTGTGACTCAGTGGTAGAATGCTTACCTGGCAAAGGCAAAAGCCCAGAGTTCCATCCTTAGCACCAGAAAAAATAAACTGCTCAGGCCTTATAAAATCTGATTTGAGCCAGACATGGTGGTGCATACCCTCAATTCCAGCAAAGGCAGGTGAATCTCTGTAAGTTTGAGGCCAGCCTGGTCTACAAAACCATTTCCAGGTCAGCCATAGCTACATTGTGAGACGCTGTCTCAAAAATAAATCTGATTTGAACTCTGCCACTTATTAGTTAGGCAACCTCGGACTATGGTTCACTTTTCCTAATCATAGAGATAATATGCTTCAGGTGGTTACTATGGAAACTGATCAGAGGGATGTATTAAAAGCTCTGATGGACATGCTGGTGTTTTAGCCTGGTAAGGTGGCATACATCTATAATTTCATCCCACCTATAATCTCAATTCTTAATGGATAAAGGTTGAAGGGTTATAAGTTCAAGGTCAGCCTGAACTACGTAGTATGACACTGTTTCAAAAAATGTAAAAAAAAATTATTTTTCTCTTACAGCATGTAGTTAGGTCATGGTTTCACTTCTGTGCAAGGTAACTAGGTGGTACTGTTGAGGTTTCTAAAGAAACCATATAAAAAGATACCAAACACTGTTAATACCCTGGTGTAGTGTGATAACGATCCATGAGCAAAGCGTGTAGTCTTGCCTTGCCTGGCATTATGGGCACTGAGATGTCTGAACAAAAGCAATTCCTTGCCTATATCTGGGTCTTAATACCAGAAGGTTGCTCTGTGCTACATCCTAGTATCATGTTATTTAGGAAGTATTAAGTACCAACTCCGATGAGGACCCAACACAGAGAACCCAAAATGCTTTACTTCCCAGGCTGAATGTGAACTTTCAAAACTCATATTTCTCATGTCCCATCCATATTTTGCTTCCAAAGAAGCTACCTTTCCTCCTGTACTTCTACAAAGCAGACTCAATCAAAAAGTCAAGAATTTATTTTATTATTATTTTATGTGTATGAATATATTGCCTACATGTATGTAAGATGCAAGTGTACTCATGTTGTGCAATGCCTGCAGAGGTCAGAAGAGGGCATCAGATCCCCTGGAAGTGGAGTTACAGACAGTTGTTAGCCTCCATGTGGGTGTTGGCAATCGAACTGGGGTCCTCTGCAAGAGCAGCCAGTGCTCTTAACCACCAAGTCATCTCTCCAGCCCCAAGGATTTCTTAATTATGTTACTTTACATATTACTTCAATGGGGCTTACAGGAAATCCTGTACTAGGTGGAGTTTCCCATGTAGACACTGGGGAGATTTCCTAAAGTTTAGTTTTCTTAGGTTTAGGTAGCTTTGATCTTTCTCCAATCATTTTCTTCTCTGAAGTTCAAATCAGCATCCTCAGGGTCTCACCAAGGTGGACCCACTTGCCACTCTGGCTCTCACTCTCTTCCTTGATTAAGAACCTGCTGGTCAGGGCACAGGGGCGAGCCTAAAGTGTTCAAGGGTCTCATATTTACCTGGCAAGCATCATGGAGATCTTGGTTGCCACCACTTCGAGTGTCTCCAGCACATAGCATGTTGTTTGTGATGGTTTTATTAAACAAATACTGTGAAGTGCAGCGGCTGGATGGGTAAAGTCTGACATGAGCCTCCTTCAACCGTTCAGAGAAGAAAGGAGAGGCTGAAAGAAAAGGGGCGTGTTTTAGGGTGTAAGCCTTTTAAAAACTTTATTTTATTTTTGTGTATGCGTGTACTGCCTGCACGTAGGTAAGTGCACCCGTGTCATGCAATGCCCGCAGAGGACAGAAGAGGCCGTTGGATCCCCTGGGACTGTAGTTACGGACAGTTGTTAGCTGCCATGTGGGTGCTGGGATTCGAACCCAGGTCTTCTACAAGAACAACCAGTGTTCTTAACCACTGAGCCATCTCTTCAACCCCGGTTTTAGTGTTTAAAGGAAAGTGATTTGCAAACCTTTTAGAAAAAGAAAGCCAATTTTTCCCGTAACAGCTAACACCGATCAAACATTTACAATCCATAGGTTGGATCCAGTGACAGTCCCCATATTTTACTGTTTTGACCTCCACAAATGGCAGTTCTCTAGAGGGAGATCTGGGCTTCTCTGTAGCACTACTGACAGTTTGGGCTGGACAGAGCAACACCCACAATGTCTCCAGATACTACCAAATGTTTCCTGGGTGGTGAAATTACCCTGGGTAAGAACCATCTATTTAATGACGCATTACCTCATTTACTCCTTACAATCTAATCGGGGAGCTAGTTCTGTCTCTACTCTGGCAGTGAGGAAACTGAGGCTTCAGTAGTGAAGATTAAAAGAGCCATGCCTAAGCTGGATACAGTGAACCAGTAATCTTGGGAAGCTAAGATAGGATTGCAAGTTTGAAGCAAGTCTGGGAAACATCATGAAACTCCCTTCATAATAAAATAAAATAATACAAACCCACATTTGGCATTATAGCTTGAATCTCGACTGTCCCTCATGTCCCACATGTTGAAGGCTTGGTACCATGCCTGGGGTACTTTGGAGAGATAGTAAAACCTTTAGGAGGTAGGGCTGGGGGAAGGAAGTTAGATCTTTGGAGAGGATTATCAGGACCCTCGCCTCTCCCTTTCTTCACCCTGTGCTTGTCTGCTACCGTGAAGTAAGCAACCTCCTCTATTGTTGAGTTCCTGCTACAATGTGCTGCTGTACCACAAGCCCACAAACGGCCAACTGAGCACAGACTAAAACCTCCAAACTGTGAGTCCCCCAAAAGTCCAAAAGCCTTTCCTCCTTTAAGATTGACTTAGCTCATATTTGTTAACATTATGAGAGCTGACCATCTTGGGTCCCCATAGCTAAGCCAGGTGCAGGTCTGGGATTTGAACTCAACCTGCACAGCTCCAGCGTCTAAGAGTACATTCCCATCCTTCCCCACTGGATTTCATTGCACTTAAAACTCTTCAAAGCACTTGTCCTGCCTTGACTTTCCATGATCTGCACAGTGACCCTGTGAGACAAGGAAGTAAACAGTAGCTTCTCACCACACTGCAGACAGGGACCCTGCCTACATTTTTCTTTCTTGCCATAACTAGGACCAGAACCCAGCTCTTGTGACCATTTTTCCCTCCACATGTTCAACTCCCACATCCCCTGGTGCCCAAGACTTCCTTCCACTTACATGCCTCATGCTTGCCATATCCAGATATCTCACATTCTGTCCAGTCCGGCAGCTGCAGGCTGGCGTCAGGAAGGCAGACGGTGCGGACCAAAGTGCTCTCCTGGGTGCACTGTTGGGAACCTGACTTCAGCTGCAGCAATGCTGGGAAGGAAAGAGAGGAGGAGGCCAGGGTGAAAGAAGAGTTTCATCAGTTTTAGGGGAGGAGCCAGGGTATGAAGGTGGGATATGTATGAATGGTGTGAGGATGACAGCATCTTACCAATGTCATTGTCGTAAGTGTCATCATCAAATTCCTTGTGGACCATGTATTTCTCAACTTCAAATTTCTGCTCCTCCTCTCCAGGGACCACCCTGTATGTTCTTCCCAAGACCACTTTAAGGTTCTGGGGAGGAAACCTAGTGGGAAAAACAGTGTAAGACTGTTTTGTGCTGTGAGTTAAGTCTCATAACTCAAGACCTTAGAGAGTAGGAAGCCCGTACCTCTCCAGAAAGCAGTGGGCTGCAGATAGCACCCAGCAGGGGCTGATGAGCACTCCTCCACACAGGAACCTCTCTCCAGGAGACCTCCTGTTCTTGGCAAAGATGGCAGCCTGCCAAGGGTGCGATGTGATGTCTGTGAAAAGTCCTCCTTTAATGCGAAACTGAGGCTCTTTATACTGCCTCAGACCACAGGTGGCTGGAGAAGGAAGAATGGGGTGGGGATCAGATATGTGGTTGTAGGGATGACACCTAGAGCACCCACTGTGATTTCTTCTGTTGGAACCTTGAATTTGTACAGGCTGTTGTCCTTCAACATGTTTGTAGCAAATGATGTAACTGTCTCCATGATTTTCCTTTGATGACTACACTGACATGCCAGATACTTTATGTGTATCTTTATCATTCCCAATACCGAACTGCAGATGGGCAGAAAAAGTTTTGCTGGAGGTTACAATAGCAGCTGGATTGGACTCAGGAACCTGTCTAACTCACAAACTGGGGATCTTTCTTCCATGCATCATTTCTTTCAATCTTTCCTGAGGCAATTTCCTGGCTTAAGGAACAGTGAATTGCAGACTTCCTTCCTTTCTAGCTACTCAGCCTTACCTATTCCTCAAGGCCAGATCACAAGGCTCCAGTTAACACCTCAGCCTTCGAGGCTCAGAGTGGGCTTCCTGAGATGGAGCTTACTATAAACAACCTTGGTTGAGAGTTTATGTCTTATTTCCCAATTAGGGTCTGTGTTGTTTGAGGAACATTCTAGTTCATCTGTGTGTTCATAGGAACTGAGTAATAATCTATTCTCAGGTAATTTCCAAACTAAACTTTCACTTTGAGGACATAGGCTAACTTGAATTTTCTGTCTCCGACACTGTATTAACAACCAAGTTCCCCTGTGTTAAATGGGTTCCATGGAGATGTGGAAGAGCTCATAGAAGGACAAGCCTTAGAGTCAGAGGACATGGGACCAGGCCCAGCTCTGCCCCCTTTAGTGCACAGAACTTTGTTGGCCACATGACTTCTGAGAGCATTTCGAATAACTGGATACTGGAACACTCCCTGTCACCAGGCTACTGGGGAAATGCAGTGGAAACACTTATCTAAGGAGCCACAATGTGGATGCTTCCTCCTCATATTCACCAGGATGTCACCTTGAGCAGAGGTAGACAGAGAGGGAAGTTTAGGACCAACTGCATTCTAGAAGAGACTGCTGTGCTCCTGTCTTTCTTTTGGTCCCTCCTTATCACACCCATGTATCCACCCATCCCACCAAGGCCGGGACTTCCTGGAAGTCTAGCAGCTACAGAAAGTCGGACAGTGATGGGAGGCGGCGGAGGAAATAGTGAAGGAGTGAACCTAGGCAAAGGGGCCCTTACAGCATGGAGACACATCACAGTATTCCCATGTCAGCTTGCGGTCCTTCAGCACATGGCACCAGGGCTTCACATCCCCATCCGGATTCCTGGAAGATAAGAGAGTTTGAGATTTTCAGTCATATCACAGGCCATGTAGGAGTAGAGGAAGTTCACCAGACCACTGGCAGAACCATCAAGCTTGGAGAGAAGATCCTAAACCCATCTTGAATCTAGCATACCCCACCATTGGGGGATATTCTTTAAGTTTGTTTCCCCAGTCAGTAATGGTGTTCTGCTCTCCCAGGAGTGTTGGGAGGAACTGAGAGCTGTTCTGTGAAGAAACTTCTACAGTAATTGTAATGAAAGTATCATGTAAGAAGAGATTAAATGGATACAGGACATACAGCCTGAAGTGATTTTGCTTGCAAAGTTGCTCTATCTAGGGCTGGGGAGATGGCTCAGTTGGTAAAGTGCCTGCTGCAGAAGCATGAGAACTTGAGTTCTGATCCCCAGAACACATATAAAAAGCAGGAGTGGCGGACTGCTCCTGTAATCCCAGTGCTGTGGGTAGGTGGGGAACGAGCAGATCCCTGAAGCTCACTGGCCAGCCAGCCTAGTCTAATAGATTAGCTTCGGATTCAATGAGAAACTCATCTCAAAAAACAAAACAAAAACTGCACAGGGTGGTAAGAGGAAAGCCACCCTACGTCAGCCCTGGGCCTCTACAAGCACATGCACCTTCATGCACACGTGCACACACACACGTGCACACACACACACAAACCAAAAAATGATGGATCTTGTTTCTCAAAAAGAAGTGTAATTGCAGCAAATGAACAGGTTGGGCTAGATAAGGCCCATGGTCTTCCAAGTAATGTGCAACATTGAACCTTCTCCCATCCCACACTCAGGTCTTCTCCTGGCTGAGACCTGACTCCTTTGCACCGTGTGCTACATACCTGCAGTAATTATGCCTGCCCAGGCCCAGGGCCTGTGAGTTGGTCCTCCATGCTGTGAAGCTCTTGCCTATCAGGATCACGGAATTCCATGGGAGGCAGGAGGCCCCAGATGTAGTGAGGCTGTGGGTGCCACGATAAGTCAACCCCTTTCCAACGTAGCAGTCCTCATTTTCTCCTGGTGCAAAATATATCTCAAGCTTAAGCCAAAGTAATTAAATATCATCAACAGGCAAATTACAGGGTTGAGGACCCTGATGGTTACATTTGGGCTCAGCAGGGAAGATGGCTGAGCTCTATGGTGAGAAGGTGCTTGGTGCTGCTGTGAAAGGCATTAGGGTGCCTTGATAGTCCGTCCTGAAGGACCAGCATGCAACACGCCCTGCTGGCAGCCTTCTTAGCTTCGCTCTGCCAGTTCTCTGAAGAATTTATTGGCTTGGAAGGAAAAGTGTGAGTCTTAGAGGGCTGCCCACAGTCATCTGTTTGTCCGATCTTGCTTTCATTCCTTTGTATGTAAAACTGGCAATGCCTTTCCATGCAAACACCATAGTTAGAAGGGATTTACAAGATTATCTTGATCCTGAATTCTTTTTTAAATTTTATTTATTTATTTTTATTTTATTTTATGTGTATGCGTGTATTGCCTGCATGTAAGTAAGTGCACCTGTGTTGTGCAGTGCCCACGGAGGTCAGAAGAGGCTGTTGGAGCCACTGGGACTGGAGTTACAGACAGTTGTTAGCTGCCATGTGGGTGCTGGGATTCGAACCTGGGTCTTCTGCAAGAACAACCAGTGTTCTTAACTGCTGAGTCATCTCTCCAGCCGGATCCCTGAATTCTTATGTTGACCAGATGATGGAGATAGGGTGGGAGAGGATGTCCTAGAATTATCCTAAAAGTATCTTCACAGTCACAGGTATACCAGCAGACCTACAGATACATTACTTTGTGTAAATGTACTCAGAACTTAAAAATAAATCTTTCAGGATTGGAAAGATGGCTCAATGGTTAAGAATGGAGTGCTGCTTTTGCAGAGGACCCCATTCTGTTTCTAGCACCCAGGTCAGGCAGCTCACAACTACCCCTAACTACAGTTACAGGGGGATCTAGCACCCTCTTCTGGCCTCTGTGAGCACTGCATTCATGTGCACAAAACCATAGACACACAGACACATAATTAAATATAAAAAAATAAAATTTTCATGCTGTGCATTATGACACATAATGTAGTGATTGGTGAAAGTGAACTCAACATGCTTTGCTGTAACTTGTATTTTTCCCCCTTTGACATTTTTATTTTTTAATTGAATTTTTGTGGATTTCATAAACATATTTCAATTGTATTTAGATCCTCTCCCTTATATGCA